GCGTTGAGTTCGTAACAAAATTTCGAATCGATTGGCATTCAAAACTGAATAATTTAGAATTTGACAGTTTTTAGCAAAAAAAAATTAACGTGATGTCACCCCTTAAAAAAATAAACAAATTGTCCAAAAATGTATGTCTCCTAAAATTACCCCAAAAAGGAAGAGGATCGTTAGCTCAGGTTGTTAGCTAGTTAAAACAGATGTTCTTTTAGCTGATACCTCAATTGGCGTAGCAGCGACAAGAATATCACCGAAATATTTATGTTTTAGCCATTAGCTAGGAATCCTAATTTTGCACCAAGTAATATCAGTATTTTGTCCGAAACAACGCAAAAAATACTCCAAAAGCGTTGAGTTCGTAACAAAATTTCGAATCGATCGGCATTTAAAACTGAATAATTAAGATTTTGACAATTTTTAGCAAAAAAAATTAACGTGCTGTCAACCCTTAAAAAAATAAAAAATATGCCAAAAATGTATGTCTCCTAAAACTACCCGAAAATGAAGAGGATCGTTAGCTCAGGTTGTTAGCTAGTTAAAACAGATATTCTTTTAGCTGATACCCTCAATTGGGCGTAGCAGCGACAAAAGAATCACCGAAATATTTATGTTTTTGCCATTAGCTAAGAATCCTAATTTTGAACCAATTTATATCAGTATTTTGTCCTAAACAACGCAACAAATTATCCAAACGAGTAGTGTCACGCCGCGTTGAGTTCGTAACAAAATTTTGAATCGATTGGCATTCAAAACTGGATAATTTAGTTTTTGACAATTTTTGGCTAAAAAAAATAATGAAAAAATTGCCCACAAATGTATGTCTCGTAAAATTACCCGAAAATGAAGAGGACCGTCAGCTCAGGTTGTTAGCTAGTTAAAAATATATTCTTTTAGCTGATACCCTCAATTGGGCGTAGCAGCGACAAAAAAATCAGCGAAATATTTATGATTTTGCAATTAGCTAAGAATCCTAATTTTGAACCAATTTATATCAGTATTTTGTCCTGAACAACGCAACAAATTATTCAAACGAGTAGTGTCACGCCGCGTTGAGTTCGTAACAAAATTTTGAATCGATTGGCATTCAAAACTGGATAATTTAGTTTTTGACAATTTTTGGTTAAAAAAAATAATGATGTAACCCCCTAAAAAAATGAAAAAATTGCCCACAAATGTATGTCTCGTAAAATTACCAGAAAATGAAGAGGACCGTTAGCTCAGGTTGTTAGCTAGTTAAAACAGATATTATTTTAGCTGAGACCGTCAATTGGGCAAAGCAGCGACAAAAAAATCACCAAAATATTTATGTTTTAGTTATTAGCTAAGAATCCTAATTTTCCTCCAAATTATATCAGTATTTTGTCCGAAACAACGCAAAAAATTATTCAAACGAGTAGTCACGCCGCGTTGAGTTCGTAACAAAATTTTGAATCGATTGGCATTCAAAACTGGATAATTTAGTTTTTGACAATTTTTGGTTAAAAAAAATAATGATGTAACCCCCTAAAATAAATGAAAAAATTTCCCACAAATGTATGTCTCGTAAAATTACCCGAAAATGAAGAGGATCGTTAGCTCAGGTTGTTAGCTAGTTAAAACATATATTCTTTTAGCTGATACCCTCAATTGGGCGTAGCAGCGACAAAAGAATCACCGAAATATTTATGTTTTTGCCATTAGCTAAGAATCCTAATTTTGAACCAATTTGTATCAGTATTTTGTCCTAAACAACACAACAAATTATTCAAACGAGGAGTGTCACGCCGCGTTGAGTTCGTAACAAAATTTCCAATCGATTCTCATTCAAAACTGAATAATTTAGATTTTGACAATTTTTAGCAAAAGAAATTAACGTGATGTAACCCCTTTAAAAAAATGAAAAAATTGTCAAAAAATGTATGTCTCCTAAAACTACCCGAAAATGAAGAGGATCGTTAGCTCAGGTTGTTAGCTAGTCAAAACAGATATTATTTTAGCTGATACCCTCAATTTGGCGTAGCAGCGAACAAATATCACCGAAATATTTATGTTTTAGCCATTAGCAAAGAATCCTAATTTTGAAACAAATAATCAGTATTTTGTCCGAAACAACGCAACAAATAGTCCAAACGAGGAGTGTCACGCCGCGTTGAGTTCGTAACAAAATTTCGAATCGATTGGCATTCAAAACTGAATAATTTAGAATTTGACAATTTTTAGCAAAAAAAATTAACGAGATGTCACCCCTTAAAAAAAAAACAAATTGTCCAAAAATGTATGTCTCCTACAATTACCCCAAAAAGGAAGAGGATCGTTAGCTCAGGTTGTTAGCTAGTTAAAACAGATATTCTTTTAGCTGAGACCCTTAATAAGGCGTAGCAGCGACAAAAAATCAATGAAATGCTTATGTTTTTGCCATTAGCTAAGAATCCTAATTTTCCGCCAAATTATATCTGTATTTTGTCCGAAACAACGCAACAAATAGTCCAAATGAGGAGTGTCAAGCCGCGTTGAGTTCGTAACAAAATTTCGAATCGATTGGCATTATAAACTGGATAACTTAGTTTTTGACAAATTTTGTCCAAAAAAAAAATTTAACTTGATGTAACCCCTTATAAAATAATGTAAAAAATGCCCATTAATGTATGTCTCCTAAATGTACCCGAAAATGAAGAGGATCGTTAGCTCAGGTTTTTAGCTAGTTAAAACAGATATTCTTTAAGCTGATACCCTCAATTGGGCGTAGCAGCGACAAAAATATCACCGAAATATTTATGTTTTAGCTATTAGCTAAGAATCCTAATTTTCCACCAAATTATATCTGTATTTTGTCTGAAACAACCCAAAAAATAGTCCAAACGAGGAGTGTTATGCCGTGTTGAGTTTGTAGCAAAATTTCGAATCGATTGGCATTCAAAACTAAAAAAATTGTATTTAAAAATGTGTCAAAAAAACGTGATGTAACCCTTAAAAAAAAATTACTAAATGTACCCCAAAATGAAGTGGATCGTTAGCTCAGGTTGCTAGCCTTTCAAAAAACTTATTCTTTTAGCTGAGACCCTGAAGAGGTTCGTTAGCTCAGGTTGCTAGCCAGTTAAAGCAGATATTCTCTTAGCTGAAGCCTTCAATTGGGCGTAGCAGCGACAAAAATATCACCGAAATATTTATGTTTTAGTTATTAGCTAAGAATCCTAATTTTCCGCCAAATTATATCTGTATTTTGTCCGAAACAACGCAACAAATAGTCCAAATGAGGAGTGTCAAGCCGCGTTGAGTTCGTAACAAAATTTCGAATCGATTGGCATTCAAAACTGAATAATTTAGAATTTGAAAAAAATTCCCTTAAAAAAATAAACAAATTGGCCAAAAATGTATGTCTCCTAAAATTACCCCAAAAAGGAAGAGGATCGTTAGCTCAGGTTGTTAGCTAGTTAAAACAGATATTCTTTTAGCTGAGACCCTTAATAAGGCGTAGCAGCGACAAAAAATCAATGAAATGCTTATGTTTTTGCCACTAGCTAAGAATCCTAGTTTTCCGCCAAATTATATCAGTATTTTGTAAGAAACAACGCAACAAATAGTCCAAATGAGGAGTGTCAAGCCGCGTTGAGTTCGCAACAAAATTTCGAATCGATTGGCATTCAAAGCTGGATAATTTAGTTTTTGACAATTTTTGGTAAAAAAAAAAATAATGGTGTAGACCCTTACAAAAAATCCCAAACATGCCCATTAATGTATGAATCCTAAATGTACCCGTAAATTAAGTGGATCGTTAGCTCAGCTTGTTAGCCAGTTAAAACAGATATTCTTTTAGCTGAGAGCCTCAATTGAGCGTAGCAGCGACAAAAAAATCACCGAAATATTTATGTTTTAGCCATTAGCTAATCCTAATTTTCCACCAAATTATATCAGTATTTTGTCCGAAACAACGCAACAAATAGTAAATAGAGGAGTGTCACGCCGCGTTGAGTTCGTAACAAAATTCGAATCGATTGGCATTCAAAACTGGATAACTTGGTTTTTGACAAATTTTGGCAAACAAAAAAAGTGATGTAACCCCTTATAAAAATTCCCAAAAATGCCCATTAATGTATGTCTCCTAAATGTACCCGAAATTGAAGTGGATCGTTAGCTCAGCTTGTTAGCTAGTTAAAACAGATACTATTTTAGCTGATACCCTCAATTGGGCGTAGCAGCGAAAAAAAAAATCACCGAAATATTTATATTTTTGCCATTAGTTAAGAATCCTATTTTGGCACCGCATTGGGTTCGTTAAAAGTTTCGAATCGCTTGGCACTTAATCCTAAAAATGTTTGTTAATGCTCAAAAAAGTTACGTTTAAGCCCATGAGAAAAATGAAAAATATGCACGTCTTAAATTTACCTGAAAGTGATATGGATCGTCACCTTCGGTTGTAAGTTGGTCAAGGCATCCCATCTTTGAGCCAAGACACTATTTAAGTTAATTACGACGAAAAAAGTTGAGAAACAGTATTGTTTTTAACAAAGGGCCCTAACAAATAAAAACAACAAACACTATTGTTTTACACTTGTTATCTGTCAATGAAAATATGTTTTTCTTTTAAACCCGCTGCGAAAGACCCAGCATGAGAATTGTTTTTTTATAAATAGGAATCAGCAATATCTGTAGCTTAACTTGATAGTTGGTTATTTTAGGCCATAGGGTGGCAGATAGACAGCTGGATACGAATTTGGTAAGAAATTATTTATTTGTACGTGAAACCATGTTGGTTTGGTGGGGGCTATAATAACACACAAGCACAATATATATATATATATAAGTATATAGCGACACTCTTTTATATTGTCAACACTAAAAAAAAACATAAGAACTTTTTCATTTGAAAAAAAATTGCTGTATTCATTTTCCTATCCTTTTTGTGATTGGGTTTTGTAAATAAGTATGTAATTAAAGCCGGTGTGACCGGCCAAATGTATATGGATGTTTGTGTATTTATATGTATTTATAAAAGAATGACAAGATTGCCTGTTTTATTTGAATTTTACAGGTACACTTCTCTTCTTTTTGGGTCACTTAGTTTTTAAACTATTGATTGTACGTCTGTTTCATTTGTTTGTGTGTTGATTTGTAGTTTTAAACTGTTTGTTTTTTTTTCACTTAAATATAAATGCATTTTTATTTGTTGTACACTCACCGAAGTTAATTTTAGTCCTTGTGTGTGTTTGTGTTGTAATCCTTTTGTGTTTCGTTGAGCTGGAAATAAATACATATACATATATAAGAAATTAGATATATTTACAATAAGTTGTACATGTTACGTGTTGTATGTAAAAACAAAACTGGCCAACTTACCTTTAAGTATAAATTATTCGTCAGCTACGTTCGTCTTCATCAAGCAGTCAGCTTCTAATGAGCTCTGCTCAAGCAGAGTTGGTCAATAAGAGAATTAGAGAGCAAAAAAAAGATGGCCGCGTCGCCCTTACGGAATGCTTCCAATGCACTGTGCCAAAAATAACAAGAATGAATTTTGTAGATATAAACATTTTTTGCATATATATATATAATTTATTAATTTATTAATAATGAAATACGAATAGTACAAAATAATATATATATAAATAAGTAATTAGAAATAAGAAAGTTGAAAACAATGAGAAGTAAATAGGTAATAAGTAATAAATAATATTGTACATGACAATTTATTAATTATTAATTTGTAATAAAAGGAGGATTATTAGTAAATACATGGTATTTAAGCAGTATTTCTTCGATTTAGATTATTACGTTTTTATTTTCTTTAAATTAAACATTCCCTTTTTTTCGCCAAGTGAGCGAACCGTTCGCTTTTGCTGATACAGAGAGGTGAGAGAGAGAGAGAGAGAGAGAGAGGAAGGAGTGAGCATTTTTAATTCAGAGAGTGGAGTGAAAACAGAGAGAGGGAAAAAATACGTTACACTTTCGTTCAGTACTCCGCATTAATATATATGTACAATGTACATATGTAAAGCAGCTGAACAACGCCCCGCATAAAGATGAGAGAAGACAGAATATGGGGAAAATACGTTACATTTTCGTTGAATACTGTTTACATATAACGGAGTAACGGACCGCAAAAAGAATAGACAAGAAAAAGAAAAGTAATGGTAGTGATGCGCGAAAAAGCACAGGTAACTTGTAGGAATGGCGCCAAAAATGGTTGCGGATAATTTGTCTGCTGCCCTGCTTTGAATGTGTACATATTGACATGTATACATGCATACATTTTTGATTCTCTGGCCACGCCTTCGTGGTGTGTGTGTGTGTGTGTCTTTGCACGCTAGGTCTAATTTGGTGGTTGTTTTTTAGTCTTTGCTTTCGTTACGTTGCTGGTGTTGTTTGCCAGAGTATAAAATGCCGAAAACCTATCCAAACGACCCGTTATTGATGTTGTATGTACATATGTATTGTACCGAATATTTATGTGATATAATGATAGGAACGTACATACATTCATGTGTAACTATATGGGTTAAATTGCGTTTTCATTTGTTAATGGGTTAATCAGTATTTTTTTGGTTTTTATCGCTGGATTTTAATTTGGCCTAGCCATCAATCATCGTCACCTCTCCCCTTGCACACGCTCTGTTTATGACTGATTAAATACATTTAGTGTGCCCACATACATATATTTAATTTTTTGTGTTTACTTGTTTTTGTTTAGTTTGCGGCAACACAGTTACACCAATGGTATTTCAAAGAAAAATCATATAATTGGACCGGAACATTTTTAGCTAGTCAAAACAAATATTCTTTTAACTGAGTACCTCAATTAGGACTAATAACGACAAAAAAACCGACAAATTCCTGTTTTTTCCTTTAGTCATGAATTTTAATTTTCAGTATTTTTTCCGAAGCAACGCAAGAAATGATCCAAATATAGTGTTATACTGCGTTGAGTTTAACATAAAATTTGCAATTAATTGGCATTCAAAACTGAAAACTTTACAAAAAACATGATCAAATGCCTGTACAAATTTGACAAAAATGTAAGTTTCCTAAATGTATCCGAAAATGAAGTGGATCGTTAGCTTAGGTTGTTAGCCATTCAAAACAGTCATTCTTTTAGCTGAGACGCAGAATAGGGCGTAGCAGCGACAAAAAAATCACCGAAATATTTATGTTTTAGCCATTAGCTAGGAATCCTAATTTTCCACCAAATTATATAAGTATTTTGTCCGAAACAACGGAACAAATAGTCCAAACGAGGAGTGTCACGCCGCGTTGAATTCGTAACAAAATTTCCAATCGATTCGCATTCAAAACTGAATAATTTAGATTTTGACAATTTTTAACAAAAAAAATTAACGTGATGTCACCCCTTAAAAATATGAAAAAATTGTCCAAAAATGTATGTCTCCTAAAACTACCCGAAAATAAAGAGGATCGTTAGCTCAGGTTGTTAGCTGGTCAAAACAGATATTATTTTAGCTGATACCCTCAATTGGGCGTAGAAGCGACAAAAATATCACCGAAATATTTGTTTTAGCCATTAGCTAAGAATCCTAATTTTGAAACAAATAATATCATCATATCAAACAAAAAAAGTGATGTAACCCCTTATAAAAAATCCCAAAAATTCCCATTAATGTATGTCTCCTAAATGTACCCGAAATGAAGTGGATCGTTAGCTCAGCTTGCTAGCCAGTTGAAACAGATATTTCACCGAAATATTTATGTTTTAGCCATTAGCTAGGAATCCTAATTTTCCACCAAATTATATAAGTATTTTGTCCGAAACAACGCAACAAATAGTCCAAACGAGGAGTGTCACGCCGCGTTGAGTTCGTAACAAAATTTCCAATCGATTCGCATTCAGAACTGAATAATTTAGATTTTGACAATTTTTAGCAATAAAAATTAACGTGATGTCACCCCTTAAAAAAATGAAAAAATTGTCAAAAAATGTATGTCTCTTAAAACTACCCGAAAATGAAGAGGATCGTTAGGTCAGGTTGTTAGCTAGTTAAAACAGATGTTCTTTTAGGTGATACCCTCAATTTGGCGTAGCCAGCGAAAAAAATATCACCGAAATATTTATGTTCTAGCCATTAGCTAAGAATCCTAATTTTGAAACAAATAATCAGTATTTTGTCCGAAACAACGCAACAAATAGTCCAAACGAGGAGTGTCACGCCGCGTTGAGTTCGTAACAAAATTTCGAATCGATTGGCATTCAAAACTAAATAATAAAAAAAAAATTAACGTGATGTCACCCCTTAAAAAATAAACAAATTGTCCAAAAATGTATGTCTCCTACAATTACCCCAAAAAGGAAGAGGATCGTTAGCTCAGGTTGTTAGCTAGTTAAACAGATATTCTTTAGCTGAGACCCTTAATAAGGCGTAGCAGCGACAAAAAATCAATGAAATGCTTATGTTTTTGCCATTAGCTAAGAATCCTAATTTTCCGCCAAATTATATCAGTATTTTGTCCGAAACAACGCAAAAATAGTCCAAATGAGGAGTGTCAAGCCGCGTTGAGTTCGTAAAAAAAATTTCGAATCGATTGGCATTATAAACTGGATTACTTAGTTTTTGACAATTTTGTCCAAAAAAAAAAATTTAACGTGATGTAACCCCTTAAAATAATGTAAAAATGCCCATTAATGTATGTCTCCTAAATGTACCGAAAATGAAGAGATCGTTAGCTCAGGTTTTTAGCTAGTTAAAACAGTATTCTTTAAGCTGATACCCTCATTGGGCGTAGCAGCGACAAAATATCACCGAAATATTTATGTTTTAGCTATTAGCTAAGAATCCTCATTTTCCACCAAATTATATCTGTATTTTGTCTGAAACAACGCAAAAAATAGTCCAAACGAGAGTGTTATGCCGTGTTGAGTTTGTAGCAAAATTTCGAATCGATTGGCATTCAAAACTAAAAAAAATTGTGTTTAAAAATGTTTGCCAAAAAAACGTGATGCAACCCCTATAAAAAATTACAAATGTACCCCAAAATGAAGTGGATCGTTAGCGCAAGTTGTTAGCCAGTCAAAACAGTCATTCTTTTAGCTGAGACCCTGAATAAGGCGTAGCAGCGACAAAAAAATCACAGAAATATTTATGTTTTAGCTATTAGCTAAGAATCCTAATTTTCCACCAAATTATATCTGTATTTTGTCCGAAACAACGGAACAAATAGTCCAAACGAGGAGTGTCACGCCGCGTTGAGTTCGTAACAAAATTTCGAACCGATTGGCATTCAAAACTGGATAATTTAGATTTTGACAATTTTTAACAAAAAAAATTAACGTGATGTCACCCCTTAAAAAAATGAAAAAATTGTCCAAAAATGTATGTCTCCTAAAACTACCCGAAAATGAAGAGGATCGTTAGCTCAGGTTGTTAGCTAGTTAAAACAGATGTTCTTTTAGCTGATACCCTCAATTTGGCGTAGCAGCGAAAAAATATCACCGAAATATTTATGTTTTAGCCATTAGCTAAGAATCCTAATTTTGAAACAAATAATATCAGTATTTTGTCCGAAACAACGCAACAAATACTCCAAACGACGAGTGTCACGCCGCGTTGAGTTCGTAACAAAATTTCCAATCGATTCGCATTCAAAACTGAATAATTTAGATTTTGACAATTTTTAGCAAAAAAAATTAACGTGATGTAACCCCTTAAAATATGAAAAAATTGTCCAAAAATGTATGTCTCCTAAAATTACCCGAAAATGAAGAGGATCGTTAGCTCAGGTTGTTAGCTAGTTAAAACAGATGTTCTTTTAGCTGATACCCTCAATTGGGCGTAGCAGCGAAAAAATCACAGAAATATTTATGTTTTAGCTATTAGCTAAGAATCCTAATTTTCCACCAAATTATATCTGTATTTTGTCCGAAACAACGGAACAAATAGTCCAAACGAGGAGTGTCACGCCGCGTTGAGTTCGTAACAAAATTTCGAACCGATTGGCATTCAAAACTGGATAATTTAGATTTTGACAATTTTTAACAAAAAAAATTAACGTGATGTCACCCCTTAAAAAAATGAAAAAATTGTCCAAAAATGTATGTCTCCTAAAACTACCCGAAAATGAAGAGGATCGTTAGCTCAGGTTGTTAGCTAGTCAAAAGAGATATTATTTTAGCTGATACCCTCAATTGGGCGTAGCAGCGACAAAAAAATCACCGAAATATTTATGTTTTAGCTATTAGCTAAGAATCCTAATTTTGAAACAAATAATATCAGTATTTTGTCCGAAACAACGCAACAAATACTCCAAACGACGAGTGTCACGCCGCGGTGAGTTCGTAGCAAAATTTCGAATCGATTGGCATTCAAAACTAAAAAAAATTGTATTTAAAAATGTTTGCCAAAAAAAACGTGATGCAACCCTTATAAAAAATTCCAAATGTACCCCAAAATGAAGTGGATCGTTAGCACAAGTTGTTAGCCAGTCAAAACAGTCATTCTTTTAGCTGAGACCCAGAAATATTTATGTTTTAGCTATTAGCTA